CGTCCTCCAACAGAGGTGGGCCCAAGTGGAGAGGCTCCTGCTTAGGCAGCTGGGTAGAGAGGGTCCTGGAAATAACTTCGTCTCTCCTAGATTTACACTCTTGATTAACTGCAGATGCCACTTGGACCATTTCTCAGTTGCATTAACCATGTTGCCCAGCTTTTTAAACTCACATGATTTACATAAAAATTTGATCTCAAAACAGACATGTATCCTAAGACATCTACAGAATATAAACTGCTAAGTGATCCCTGAATGCAGAAATGGCACAGGAGCCAAGCTAAAGTACATATATGGTCTAGGAAAATTAGTAACGAATAGGCTAATGAACAGAGCTCCTGGGTCCTTTGTGTTACACTGAAATATATACAGCGTATTATTTCTTTATTGGACATTACTGTCTTTTAATATCACTTTTTCAATTAAAAAAAAATACATATCTACCCACTTGGTCCAGACTTTTGTGCCCAGCCACACTACCTAGGGACCTCTTTTTGAACTAATCTAGAAAGAGTGTCATTTTCTAAATTTAGGCAATTACATATCCTTTTCTAAGCCTCTGTAATTTTGTTTTCTTTCAGAACATACTTAACTACTGTATGTCTCTCCCAAAAGCTAATTCCACCAGCATCCTGCTATTTCTAACTGCTGTTGTCGCTCTGAGAATCAACAAATGTATCAGGATCTCCTTCAATCAGTATCCCCTTGAGTTTCCCATGGAGGTTTTCCTGGTAGGTGTTCTGATGCCCCAAACTCATGATTCGGATCATTCAAAATACCTATCTTTTAAAAAAGAAATAAAAGAGCAACTAGGAAGAAAAAGGCTGTAAAAATAATGATTTTTAAAAACATAAGTTGAATTGTGATAAAGCTGAATACACTTTGTTTTAAATGCTCGCTTATATTTGTAAAGCATACTGATTTTCAAAGGACTCTCATCTATTGCCTCTTTTTCATACTATTTAAAAAAATAATTACAGATGATGTATTATAGAATTATACCCCTGAAACCTGTGTAAGTTTATTAACCAATGTCCCCCCAATACATTCAATTAAGAACTAAGGGTTTTCCCCCTTATGAAAGCAATACAGGCTCATCCTAACAATTTAGCAAAACATAAAGATGGGGGGGGGAGGAAGGGAAAAAAATTCCTATAGTTGCATCACCCAAAGTTGGCTACAATGGAACTTCTAGATTCTTAGTTATCCAGTGCCTCCTTCTTCCAAACAAATATACGACAGGCCTGCGCTCGGTGTCGGTGAGTTTCCCCCTGCTCTGTAGCAGCCCTGTTCCTATCTTGGTCTGGCTGCGACCTTACTGTCAGCCAGCCCCCTTTCCCTCCCACTTTGCCGCAGTGCAGACACTGAGGGAGGTGGGTGTGAAGGGCGTTACCTGACCCGTGTCACTAGTAAGTGGCAGAGCTGGGGCTCACTACTGTCTAATAATAACATTCCTTGTCTCTTTTACAAATCCACTGACGAAATTTATCGTTTGCGGTTATAATTAACCTTTTTATAATGATAGAGACAGTTTCCTAAATAAAGCTTAGGGTTGTTGTTTTTTAAGTCAACGTTTCTCATAGGATTGCTGAATCCCTGGATGTCTTTGAGAATTATTTGCCCCTTCAGAAGTGTTCTGTTGCAGAGATACTTAATGTTCACCAAATATCCACGTGCTCCCCTGTATTTCCCAGCCACCCCTGTAGTTAGGCAAGACCGTGTGACTTTGGAGCCAAACCATAGGAGACTAGGTGTGAGTCCCCATGTACTCCCTTCCTGTGCTGTGATAATTGGGGGGGCTGTGTGTTGAGATGATAGAGTCTCCACATGGAATTAGCCTGGATCCCTGAGTCGCCCTCTGCCAAGAAGGCAAAAAAATAACTTTAATGTGTTAAGATCTCATGGTTTGTATGTTGCATACCTATCCTACGCTGACTAATCCAGGCCTGTACAGTTCATGATTGTAAGAGCATGGGAGCTGCTTTGGAAACTGAGGCCAAACTCTGTCTCTTCATTTTTGTCTGCCTCTTATAGAGGTGCCTATTCTTTCTTCCTCGCAGTAGTTGAAACCCGATTAATTCATAAAGGACAGAAGCTGAAAGGCTGCTTTTACAAAAGACTTTCCAAAACACTGTGCACAAATAGCGGTGTCCTGGTGCCCGGGAGATGATGTACATATGGAGTCAGGGGGCTGGAGTCAGGTCAACATCTCCGGTCCATGGAACCCGCCCAGTTCTGGCACCTTAGCAAACTGAGGCTTTGGGGCCACCAGCAGATGGCATCTGTGACACAGACATCAGCTCTCTCTCTGTCTCATTTCAGCTTTGTCAAGGTACAATTGACATAAAATTATAAGATATTTAAAGTGCGCATCATGGTGATTTGACATATACGTACATTGTGAAAGGGTTCCCCCATCTACTTAATTAACACACCCATCACCCCACGTTTATCTTTTTTGGGGGGGTGATAACATTTTAAGTTCTACTCTCTTATCGAATTTCAGTTATACAATATAGAATGACCAGCCGTAGTCCCCATGCAATACAATAGCTCCTCAGACCTTACTCCATCTTATAGCTGAAAGTTTGTACCCTTTTGTGAACTTTTTCCCCCATCGCATAGCCCCTGCCAACCACTCTTCTACTCTGTTTTTGCAAGTACGACCAGTTTTGTTTTTAGGTTCCACCTATAAGGGACAGCATACAGTATCTGTTTTTCTCTGTCTGGCTTATTTCGCTTATCGTAATGCCCTCAGGACTCATCCTTGTCGCATATCAACCCTCTCTTAAGGGACATCAGCAACAGGAATCAGTGCTTTTCCTTCGAGCAGCCTCAAGGGCAGTGAACATAAACCAGGGTTATTAGGAGAGGAGGGAAGTAAAGGTACAGGGGAGGCGGAGCCTTTGCTGTGGCTGACAGACTGACTTGTGAGCCACAGTTGACACTGCTTTGGGGAGCGCTGGGAATAATCAGGATGCACCATGAAGTGACACGAGGCAGGAATCTGAGGCCCAGCAATACAAGGAGTCGAAGACTTAGAACTGTTGCACTTTAGGTAGTAAACTTTTTTGTGACTTAATTTACACTCAAAGGTTATTAAAGCCTATTTATACACTTGTCAAGTGATTGGGAAACACCTTCTGCCGCATAACAAGAACTAGAGATGTAGTTTAGGACTGGAAAAGGGCCTCCACGTCTCCCCTGCTGGTGAGAAATATGGGAGAAGGGAGATAATCGCAGCTATGGCCCAAGGTGTAAGGAGCTTCTCACAGCGCCCATCAAGAAACTACTGTCCCCACGCACCCAGCAGTCTGTCCTGTCCGTAGTCTCAAGTAGAGGAAGATTTTGAAGGCTGGATCTGGGTCTGGGTAGAATATACTGACAAATAATTTAAGAGCCCCATAGCTGTTAGAAATGATGCATACTATATGTTCACGATTTATTTGTGTGTCTGTAGTTTAGCTGTATAGCAAACATCCCCCCCAAAGTGTCATTCATAGTTGCCTTTGGGTGATTTATTTCTGCTTTTTAATTTTTCATATTTTCTCTATTTTCCTTAATGAGCAAGCATTGTCTTCACACTGGAAATAAAAGAGTTCCTTGGCTTCTTGCCACACTTCTTGTCCCTTAACTATGTCAAGACCAAAACTTGTCTTCTCTGACTCAGGCTATGACCCAGACTCTTCCCTCCGTTCTGCTCTGCGGGCGTCCTAGGGGTCTTCATCTGGTCACAGCATCACGGGGAAGCCAGCTGCGATCCTGCTCAGTGTCTGGTTGAACCCTTAGAGTAGATTCTGGGAACAGATTTATGTGCTAGTCGGGAGAATGAAATAAAGCAACCATATAATTATTATTTTAAAACCTAGGCATTGAGGGCCCTGGCTGGGTAGCTCAGTTGGTTAGAGCTTTGTCTGGATATGACAAGGTTGCGGGTTTGATCTCTGGTCACATGCAGGAGTGAACCAGTGAGTGCATAAATGACTAGAACAGTGGATTGACGTTTCTCTCTCTTTCTCTCTCTCTCTCTCTCTTCCCCCCTCCTCTGTCTCAAAATTCAATAAATTAAAAAAAATTTTTTTTGCCCGGCTGGGCGTGGCTCAGCGGTTGAGCGTCGACCTAGGATCCAGGCGATCAGGGCTCGATTCCCAGTCAGGGCACATGCCTGGGTTGCGGGCTCGATCAATGACTCTCTCATCATTGACGTTTCTCTCTCTCTCTCTCCCTCTCCTTCCCTCTCTCTGAAATCAACAAAGATATATTTTTAAAAAAAAATTTTTTTTTTTTAACCTAGGCTTTGAGTTCTGGCTTAATTGGCTTTGGTGTGAAGTCTTTATTAGGTGTAACAGCTGCTAGGTTATCTATCTGCCTTCTAGTTGAAATGGAAGGGAGACTTGCAATTTTAGAAATCAATGAATGGGGGCAGAAAAGGCAAGTCTTTGCTCTGCTGAAGACCTTTTTCCTTGTGCTATCAAATGCTGCTCCATATCATTAATGGTTAGTCAGTAATACGATTCTCAATATACTCAACAGCCCCCCCAAAGACTTACTTATATCGGCACAACGTACCCAGATCTAGAGACTTTTAGAACCGGGGCCTTGATACAAGTATTACCTGAAAACACGTTTATATTTGCTCTAGATGCTTAAAGTTGGTGAGGAAAAGAGGTCCAGGGCACCCTTTCGTCCCCATCATGTGGCAGAGACCAAGGCCATTCTGGCTGCAGCGCTAAACCAGCTTCGGGGACTGAAGAGTCAGGGGGTCGTCTGCCTTGCTTGCGGCCCTGACCCTCTCCGGCCGTCACGGGACGGACGCATTTCCATTCCCCGTCTGCCAGAGGCTGAGGCACCTCCGCCCCCACAGGCAATACATTAAACAATATTTCCCTGACGGCCTGCCTTTTGTTTTAACCCCCACAGGTCCTTGGCTTCAGTGCGCTAGCGAGCAAGGTGAGCATGGCCACCGAAACCAGCAGGAGCTTCGTGGACATGATTCCCTACAGGTTGGTGATTTTACTTTTCAAGGCGACTCCGCCCTTTCTGTCACCTTCTCTGCTCCCCGGGGGTGGCCTCTCCCCACAGCCGCCGTCGGTCCCTGAGCTCACGCTCGTTTTTGAACACGGAGGNCGGCCCCGGCCCCGCCGACGATGCTCCCCGGGGGTGGCCTCTCCCCACAGCCGCCGTCGGTCCCTGAGCTCACGCTCGTTTTTGAACACGGAGGCTCGTGAAGGGAGCAGGGCACGAGCAGCCCGTTTCCCTGGCCAGCCGCTGCCCCCCCACCGCTGAACGGGCCCCTGACCCGGTGCATCGTTGGCCGCGTGGGACACCAGAGAGGCTCCCGCGTGTTCCCCTAGCACATCGGGGGCCTTCGCGGCCTCTGTCCCTGCCTGCTTAATTCTCAAGGACGGGGCAAGAGACGCCTCTGCGTCCCCGGCCTCTCTCCCGGGCGTTCCTTCTGTCTTCAGCCCCTTAGACGGGCTCGGTGTCCCTGAGCAATGTCCCCGGCCAGCCTGGCCGAGGGTTAGGGACTCGCAGTTCATCTGCATCCTAGCTCCCACCGGCGACCGGGGGGCATCGCTCTTGCTCTGTTAGGGAATCGTGGTTTCTTTCACCTTGACGGGGTGAATCCCTTTAGCCGAGAGAGGCACCGTGCGCGGCGCTGTCCCGACTCCCGGGCAGGAAGCCGTGAGACCCTGGCTTGGTCTCGTGCCCTGCCAGTCCCAGTGAATCTGATGACGGCTGAATCCATTCGAAATTCTGTTCAGCTGGGGGGAAAAGTGAGCAGACCACGAGGGAATGAGACGCTTTGTCCCTGCCCTCAGAAAAAAATAACATAAACGATGGGGTTGATGCTTCATATAATTATTTTCCTTCATTTCTCCTTACATTAATTATGAGGTAGATATTACCTTCTTTCTATGGCTGAGGAAACTAAGGCTTACCAAGTGTAAATCACTGATCCCAGACCACGCACCTCGGCAGTGGCACAGCTGCTCTTTGAACCCACTTCTATTTCAGTCCCAGATCTAGGATTATAACCGCTCTGCTTCACTCACTCAATATGCTCCTGTTACTAAGGACTTCAAAACCTCGCACTCAGCTTTTGCTTATATTTTATCATAAGATTCAAGGGTATAGATAGACGAGTGAGCGTTCCCAAAAAATCTAATTTTAGGTTTTGCTTTAACTTCCTTTTTTATTATCTATATATCCAAGGTTGCTAGGGACTAGGGGGAAAAAAATGAACAATTAAAGTTAGTTCCTTCAATATCCATGTCCCCCTTTAACCTAAACTGTTAACGAAGAATTGAATGTCACATAGAACAGCAGACGGGAGAAACAGCAGCTGGTGCTGCGATCACAGGCTTGGGCGATCAACCCCGTGGGCTGGATTCCTCTCTGGGACGGCTACATTCTCACCTGACCTCTTAAAGGGACAAGAAGGAATTTTAACAAGACGTTCAATATCTGCGTTTGAACCTTTAGTTCTCTTGTCCTAAAGCTCATTACCTGGAAAACGCCCAGGTGTTTTAAGTTAGGAGTGTGTTATAATTAGGGAATGAAAATAGACATACTTGGATAATAAAGGAAAAGATACCAGAAGATAAGAATTTCAATTTATTCACGTAATAATGGTGATAAATAGGAATGTAGGAAGAGCACTTGGAGGTGCTAAAAGTGATGCTACTTTAAGGAAAGTGAAATTTAAAATGCATAAACCAAGAAGAAATTTTAGTTAGCTAAGGGATTAAACTACATCATAAAAATTTTTTAAAAATAATTTCCCCAAGTGTATTTAATACATTGTTTATTTTACTGAAATTGTATTTTACACAAAATTTCAGCTGTAACTCAATTATTGAGTCATATATCTATGTCTTGATGAAATGATAAGACTAATCAGAAGATTAAACATTTCAAATGGCACCTCATCTAAGACACTTAGGTTTGTGTGTGTTTTTACTTAGAACTTTTTTTTTTAATCCAGAGATATGGGAACATAGCATACCTGTGCTTGCAAATTTATTTTAAAGGACTATTCTATTATAGTTCTATGGAAAAACTGCCCCCCAAATCGTGAAGATTTCTTTTCTTTTATTTACTCTGTTAATATTATGATTGATTTTTTTTTTTGCTTCTTAATTTACCTTTATTGTTGAAAGTATTACAAATGTCCCTCTTTTCTCCCCATTGATTCCCTCCACCTTGTACCCCTCCCCCCAGGCCTTCACCACACTATTGTCTGTGTCTATGGGCTAAGCATATATGCATATAAATTCTTAGATTA